ATTTCGACCATTTCCATTGTCTCCTGATGACTCAGATTCAATGGGTACAACTTCTGCCTAGATCAAATTTCCTCATCAGTAAACAAAATGCTCTGATTTAATTTCACTATTCAAATCCACCCAATTTCACTAAAAAAAAATTATATACATGTGTCTGGAAGATGGAAATTTGTATTATACATCTCCAAAAATGATGGATTCAGCCGTTTTCTGTTGATTTTTTTTTTTTTTTTTTTTTTTTTTTTTTTTTGCTCCACATATTTGTGTATGTTGGCTTGAGAAAAAAAACAGGGTATAGATTGATATTTTGATAATATTCGATGACAGCACTCTTGAGGATTTTTTTTCAAGTAAATTACGTTTTTTGATGAGTGTCATTTTTTTTTCTATAAATCAAAATTGTGGTTGAATTTATTTCTGTGTATGACTAGTGAATTTGTTAAATTATTATTATAAGTTCTCTTTTGTGTTCATAGACTTTTTTTTTTTTTTTTTTTACATTTCTGCTTGTTTCCCCCAAAGTATTGTGAAGAACAATCTAGGTAATTTATTTTATATATGCCTCCAAACTATTACCAATATTACTCTTTTTAGATCTAACCATATCCATGATGGTTTTGGAAGTGGTTGTAACTATTTGGATGTTTAAATGGGATAAGTAGAAACCTGTAATTATACCAGATTTAATTTTATAATAGTGGTTTGAGTAGAAGTTTACTAGGTCATTTTTGTTGGGAATTTTTCTGTAAATGCCAAAATTGAGTTCGCTATTGTTTCTGTGTAACATAGTATCTAGGAAGGGAAAAGTGGTTGTTTTCAAGTTCAAAGTGACATCTAGTGTAGGTTCGGTGTTGTTAAGTTGGCTGACGAGATATGTTAAAATAGTGTTTTGTGGATATATTAGTAGGTGGGGGGAGTCTATGTATGTGAAATAGGAAGACCTTGGTGGTAGAATGTTATTGAAAGGGCCACTTTCTAGAAACTCTAAAAAAATAGGCAAGTGAGAACGTCACTGAAAGGAGATCCCATAGGCAAACCAAATTTTTGTCTATAGAAGTATTGTTTGGTAATTAGTTGGCATATTTTTATTTTATGTGTGGGGATATGTGAATATATTTTTAAGTGTGTATTTAGTAGACTTAGGCATTTTTTCTATAGGGATCTTAGCGTATAGAGATTTTATTTCTAAAGTGACCATATATTTGTTTTTGATGTCTACATTTTTTAATTTGTTTAGGAGGTCACCTGAGTTTTTTTATGTGTAAGGGACTCATTGTGCCAAGAAGTGGGGTTAGGATTTTGCTTAGTGTGCCAGCTAGTTTGTGGCGCACTGCCTATCCCTGATATGATAGGTTTCATTGGTATGTCCAGTTTGTGTGTTTTTGGTAGTCTGTATAGTGTGGGTGTATTGGGGTGATGCTCAATGACTTTTAGCCAGGATGTGTCTTCTTTTTTAGTAAGTTTTTGACATTGCTTATGAATATTTGTCTCTTTCGTGGCTCTGTTTTCATTTACTTTTTTTTCTAGATGTTGTCAATGAGGTCTCTTAAATATCTGTTAGTTCATCCATGATTTTTTTATATATATACACACACACACACACACACACGTGTGCAAGGCTAAACTGTTACAGTGTTTGCAGTCTGTATATAGAAGATGAGTGGGTTGAGGTCTAATGTTGAAGAGGATTAAATATAGGTACCTCCACGAAATCGCTAAAAAAAGAGCATAGCTTGATGAAAAAGATGCCAAACTTGCCGAAAACTAAATTTTATTGTCTAAATGCTTATGTTATTATTAAGAGGAAAGACCAAAGTTTTTTTTAATTATTTTTAAAAAATTTTCCTTCTTTTTAGAACATTCTAAATTTTGATTAAAAAAAAAAAAAAAAAACTTTTTTCTATTTGTATCAGCGGAACTAGTAAATAATATAGACAATTTTTAGCACGTTTTTTTTTGGTATGACACACATTAATTTGAAAAATCGTGCAAAAATAGAAATAATTATCGGATGTTAATGAAACTTTCAGAAACTATTCACAGATGATCGAAATTATTATAAATATGTTTTTTTTATGAAAGTCATGGTAGAAATATTTTTAAAAATATTTATTACCCCCCTAACTAATTTTATGAAAAACGCTAGAAATTCGATCGCATCGGTTTTAGTGATTACAATAATTAAAAAGCACAGGGCTTTGAGGAATGCAAATCATGTTTTTTTTTTGTTTTTAATTGGATACGCAGTACCTGAAAATCAGCTCTGAATTGTAACATACAAAACTCAATAAAACAAAGATATTATTTAATTTCAAATGCTTTTATTTGCTTTTAGTTGTTTTTATGAATATGGACAATATTTTCTGAAAGCAAAAAAAAATTTTTCGATGAAAAATGAATTTTAATACAATTATTTGTTATTTCATTAATTATAATAGATTTTACATTTAAGTTGTTAAAATATTATAAAATTAGTTAAAAGTCGCATCGGCTTTCATAAGTGTCCTTATGAGATAGATCTTTTTTAGCGCGTTGTAAATTGTATCATTTTGACTAATCAGAAGATCCCCAGTAATTAAGAAATGTAATTTTGTGCTTATAATCGAGCTGTAATTATAAAATACAGAAGACCAACCAGAATATAATTAAGTTGCATTATTTGAGTTAAGCATTGTTCAACGCTGTTAAGGCCTTTACTTTTGCGAAACACGTGTGGAGAAGTTAATTTGATTTTTCAATTTCAACTGAGAAGGGTACCTACAAGTATCAGTATCATCTTATGAAATTTATATGATCTTATTTTTATATTAATCTCAGTTACGACATTTTTCCATAAATGAAATATCAAAATTAATAATAAAATGAATGCAAATACAAATAACAGTAGAATGTAATAAATGTACATAAAATTATAGTATTTTATGTACAATTCTGATAAAATTTCATAAGAAAGGTACCTATAAATTAATTAGATACCTTTCTTAAGAAATATGAAATTTAATGTCACTCTTAACAGTTTTTTTTTAATTTTTTTACAATATATTTCCCATAAAGCATCATAAACGTAAAAAAGGTGAAAGCTAAGTACAAAAAAAAAAAAAAAAAAATTAGACCGCTGAAAGTTTTACGTTAAAAATACGGGGTAAATAATTTGTTCACGTAAATGTATTTTATTTCACTTTTCTCCTTCCCAGAGAACAAATTAGCCTCATGGAATTCGTAAATATATCATTCATCACATGTCAAGAGACGCGAAAGTTTATGACCTGGTTTGTTTTATTTTCAAATTACATCTTTTTGACACAAAAGCTAAGTTAAGTTTGGTTCAAAATATTTTAAATAAACATAATTTCTGATTTTCTTAAAATAAGTTTTGAAAAAAAATGATAATTGATATTTAAAAAAATTTCAAAGTCAGATTTCCAGTTTTTTTTTTTTAATGGAAAAAAATGGTCAATTTTCCTGACTCAAAAAAACTAGATTTTTTAACGAAAATTTCGGACGTGCTAGGAACGATTAAAAATGGAAAAAATACTCCAAAAATACTTTGACCTTTCCTCTTAATAATAACAAACATTTAGACGATAAAATTTTGTTTTCGTCAAGTTTGGCATCTTTTTCATCATGCTATGCTCTTTTTTTAGCGATCTCGTGGAGGTACCTAATTAAGTATAAGGATAAATTCTAGTTTGGCACCTTAACTTTTCACATAGTCACAAAATATGTATACAAGAGGTGAAGGAGTATGATTTTCTGTCCAGTTATGTCAATTTTGCTCCACATGAACAAATTTTTTGTTTGTTGAAAGGAATTTTGTAAAGGAAATAAGCATTAAAATCTTAAAAATGGCAACACATTAAATAAATCATTCTTACATTTTTAAAATATGCTTTTAATTTCATTTCTCACTGCTCTATCACAATTACCATGGAAAATGTTCAGACTAACAAAATTCTTTAGTTCCATCAGTTCTAATCTTCATGGCTAAGATCTGCCATGCCACACATATTGTAGCAAACCACCCTCATTTCCTTGGTACTCCATTGGTGAGATATAAGTTTCACTCAAGCAACTTCTTCCCACAAACCACTTGTGGAACCAACTCCCTGATCACTACAATCTTACTCTGTTCAAGTCTAGAGTCGGCTGTTATCTTTTCACACATATCCTCATAAACTGTCTTTTACTTTCTAACCCTCTACCTCAAGTGGCTCTTGGGTTTTGTACAGGGTGAACATCACTAAAAAAAAGAAAAAAAAAAGCATACTGGCACCTTCAAGGATAAGATCAAAATACTTTCAGTACTGATCAGTATCTAAGAAGAAAGAAAGTACACATAATTTTGTCAAAAAATTAAAGCATAAGCAAACAAAGTGTAGGTGTTTAATATCATAAGAAAACTAATGCCTAGGAAAACAGATTTTAGAAATGAAGTCTTCCCGTATCAGGGATTGACTACAAGGTTATTTAAAGATTGTCAGCTATGGTACTGGGAATTAATGTTAGTTTCAACATGTAACAATCAGAGTTGAATCTATTCTCTTGTTTTTTGTTAGTACTAACAAAAAAAAAACAAGAGAATAGATTCAACTTAAACAGAGATTCTTTTGGACTGGTATATTTTAGTTAAAATGGAAAAAAAGAGAAAGTTCTTACATTGGATATAACAAGCTTGCAGAATCTATTTGCCAAAATGTGTTGAAAACAATAAATATAAGACAATAGATCAAAATAAAATACTTTATCTCAGAACTTTAACGTTTCACTTTAGTTTCAAAATGCTTTTTTTTTCTTTTTCTTTTTTAACAAAATTTAGTTTTAATATAGCAAATCTAAATGTCATCTGTAATTTTATTTTCACTGTAAAGCTTAATTTTGAATTTTTTAAGATTACAATTTAGGAATAACTTAATATTGCAATATTTGAAAAACAAAGCCTTTTTTCCTTTTTTCTACATTTAGAATTTTTCAAATTACCTTTTTTTTTTCTTTCCTTTCAGAATGCTGCCAGTGAATGTTACAGTCGAGTGTCCTTGTCCATTGACCCCACACAAGTGCTTCATGGCACAGGACCTACTCTTGAGGCTTCTCGTGATGCTGCTGCTCTCCAAGCTCTCAAAATGTTGGCAGAGAAAGGTCTGTCTGTTGTCGTCTCTGATATAGACAAAAAAATGGCCAATGCTGACCGGTAAGCTTATTCGCTAATTTTGGTTGACATTAAAACTTTAGATTATACTTGAAATTGGTGAAAATACAAGGATCAGGGTGTTGCTGATACCTTATGAGCCATCCTGTATTTAGTTTTTATTATTGACAGGTATTTTATTAAATTAAAATAAGCTATTGTTGATTCATTAATTATATATCAGCCAAAACAGTCTCAAATAACTATTAAAGAAGTAGCTAAAAGAGAATATTCAATAAATCTATAATCATTAGCAATTCTTTATGTACCTCAAGAGGTGTGTTTTTGTTTGTTTGTTTTTTAAGGTGAATTCTTATAAAATGGGAATGATATGCTCATCTATATTTGGAACTTTGGCAATCTAAGTTCTTTAACCCTGAAGGTGAGGTGGTCAAATAGGTGGGTTTAATAATGCTTGCTCATCATTTCTTCAATGTGAAAATTAAGTCTTGTACATTGATTAATTTATGGAAAATATTATTTTTAATCTGAAAGAAACATTTCCATGGTAGGTTATTGCATGTGATCCTAATAAAAGCTTTTGTTCATTCAATATTTATTTCTTATGTAAACACATTTTTCCTCTAATGCTTGTTTTTTTTTTTTTTTTTTTGATTATCTTTAAAAAATCTTTCATTCATTCTTATCAGCTGCTGTTTTATTGTCAAAATAATAATTTCTTTCTTGGAAGTTTAAAATTCATTAAAATTGACTTTAACTGTCTTTTCAAGATTGTTGGTTAATCTAAACCCTCAGATGGATTCTCTCTTCTTTCCAATATCAAACATTGGACTTTTCTGGTAATTTAGAAACAAAATTGTTAAAGAGCTTGACTGTATATATGCTACCAGAGGCTTCTAAGACACAGAAATCTGGAACTATATAAATGATAATGATTCTTTCTCTGTATCAACTATCAAGATCATTTGTTACTTTTCAAAATATACAAATTCTTCAGATGTGCTATTATATATTTGTATATAATGTAAAATCCTTAAATTACATGCTTATCAGTGAAAGATTACTTGAATCCCAAATTTTTCTCAGTGTGTGAAATATGGAAAAAAAAGTTCTTGTAATATCATTCTTTCTACTCATAGCATTTGGTATATTTGTGTTTGTAAAATTATTCAATACTTGTAGAATATGTACTTTGTTCATGTATTAAGCTTGGGAGGTAAATGAAAATTTGAGAATTTCTGGAAATTTTATTTTATTCATGACAAAATTAAAATAATACAACTGATTCTGAAAGTAAAATTAATTTCTTGTAGATGATTATCAGAAAAAATATAAAATGGTCATTTAGGATTTTATAACAATGTTGATTTTTGAGTTGTTTGCATTAATTTTATCTAGGATAAGCTCAATTCAAATCTTTAAAACAAATCATTTGAAAGATTTACAGAAAATTTCACATTGTTGGTTAAGAAGAATAGAAATATTAATGTTTTGCTGATTTTTATTTTATTTTTTTTTGCTTGCAAAAATTCTATACATTTTCTTTACATTACTTTTCTTTTTTTTAGTTCTCCACTGAAGTTGGATGGTTTTGAGAAATTGGCTAACTCCCCAACTATGCTCTTAAGTGAGCACCAGCGCTCCACTTCTGCTACAAAGTGATTGTCACTTCAGGACATGGCCACAATGCAGCTGCCTTTGAATGACCCCACCTCCACCTGCAGCTGCCTATAGGTGTTGCTGTTGTGACACAGCAGTTCTACTTTCTTCTCTTGGGCCACATCTTGATACTTACTCAATACATATTCCCTGCCCCCCCTGCCCTTCTCACTCTGCCTCCCTGTTATTGATGTGCTAGCACTGAACCCTCTCTCACGTTTTCTTTTTCCTTCTCTTTTTGTCTTTCCTTCTCTTAGGAAAATTTATGTTGTTGATGGGAGACACTACTCATCAAAGACATGTACTTTTCTTTAGTAATATTTGAGTAAGGAATCTTCAGGCATTGTGAGAAGTTGCTTTGTTTGGGATTTAGAAATATGACTTGAGTCAGCAAGCAAATCTCTGAATTTCCATTTGGTGACTGTATAAAACTTCAGTAGTTTTATGTTGGACAAGTGCTGATCAAAATCTTAATTTCTAAATCATGTCAAGAATGAATCATTGTAATAACAATTTCCATAATGCACTGGTTTGTTTAGCCATCACTAAAGTTGCAATTTATTTCAGTTCTTTCCCCCCTTTATTTTAAAAAATTTATTTTTAAAGCTTTTTCTGCAATTTGCAGATTTTAAGTTTGTCTATGACAAGCCATTTTTATTTTCATGTTTATATTGCATTCTGATGGTATTTTCCCCACAGATATAGCAAAGGCAGAAAAGTGTAAAGTCAAAATAGACATTACAATATTTTTTGTTTTTAATCTTTCATTTGTTTAAAAGAAATATTTAGCCTTGTTATAATTAAATTTACTTTTATCTTAATCAAGTGAAACAACAACATTGATGCCTTTTCCAAATTATAAATGCTAATCAGCAAAAGGTTGTGTTAAGGATAATTTTGTGTTCAATGCCATCTGTGATAGAGGATTAGGAATCATGCCTGTCTCTTTTCAGATTTTATTGCTACTAAAATAATTTGGTAGTTTTCAACTCTATTTCTCTCAACCTGTGAACAGTAGGCTCAGTTATTTTTTATTTTATTTATTTATTTTTTTTTTGTTGTTGTTGTTGGGGACAATGTCACTATTTAATGATCATAAATTTTTTTCGTAATTCCTCAACTAGTTGCCCCCCAATTTTTTTTTATAATGGATGTTAAATCTCCAAAACTATTTTATACAAAGTTTTCGATTACAAACTTACCCCATTTCTTTTTTACCTTACCTACATATTTTTATTGGAGAAAATAAGGCAAGTATTAACAAGAGATGTGTACTTAATTTTTAAAATGAAATCCTTATGTAATTAAAATAATGGGAAAAAAATGTCCAAATATAATTATTTCGGGATTTTTTTTTCTTGACTTTGGATATAATTAATGACACTTAATCAAAAATTTAATAAAAAATTTAAAAGAAATCCAACATTTTCTGTATCATCATGGAAGAAAGAAATTTAACTTCACACTTTTGATTGTTTAAAATTTCAGTAAGCACAGTGAAAAGCCACTTGTAAAATTTTAATTAAGTTTTTTTTTGTTTTATAAAGTTGGCAGGATATAATGGTTCACTTGTTTTCTGATCCATTTCTTTCATTTTGTGCACTTGATATATTACTAATTAATGAATTAAGCTTGAGCCAATTAAGATTAATCTTCATAAATGGCTTCTAAAAAAAATTACTGAGAAAAATAGAAAAAAACTTTTATAAAAATTTTGTTCTAACCAAATAGCAGTTCAAAGATATAACTGATTTTTACTTTAATTATGCAATTAGTACTAGAAAAATATGTTGGGTTTTTAATTTATAATAATACACTAAGACCCTCCCTCAATAGGAAACCATGGCCTATTTAATAAATAAACTTTGCTATTACAGATAATTTGTGGATTTAATTATTGGTTAAAATTCCCCATTTAAGTTTTATTTTCTTTCTTCTAATTTTACAACTTAAAAAAACAATAGGATATAAATTCTATACAGATTTAAGTTGTCATATTTTATTGTCTGTTAAAAAAAAAATCAAACTGCATGATCAGCACTACAACTTGTTTCTCTGATACTTTCTTTCCTATTCTCTCAAATCACTCAGACAATCAATTTGAATTATAATCAAAGGGATTTCAGAATGTTCTCTGCATTAATTTAAAATTAAATCATTACCCCCCCCCCCGCCAACCTTTTAGACTTGAAGTGCGGTATGCATTAATTTAGCTATTCTGCTTTGTTCTTTGTATACTAGCATTTTTTAATTCTTTAACATAAGCTATTATCTGAACTTAATCCAATTGCTGATTTTAATTTTTTTTTTTTTTTTTTTTTTTTAAACCATTTGAGCATTGGCAGTTCACAACAATCTTGAACAAAGGCTTAGATATACTGATAAGTATTAAATGGATGTTTTCAAATAAATATAAAAAAAAAGCAATTTTAAAATTGGTTCTGTCATATGTAAATGTAATTCATCTGAAGTTCCAAGTGTGGGGTGAGAAGATCTTTTGTATAAAGTAGTCCTAGAAAAACCGTCCTCATCTATTCTTGCAATGTACCACAATATTAGTTGTTTGTGTGTCCAATGAGCCAGTTGTGGAGATAATAGAAGTTACATGCATGCAAATGGTGCTCTCTTTCCAAACCATCTGTTCAAAGATAGTAGGAAGCACGACTTGCAGCAGTGTAAAAAAAAAAAACAAAAAACCCATAAGTCATGAAAATTGCCCTTGTCTCCACGCATGCACCCATCTATCATGATGTATGCATGCATGTAGGCAAAAAGGGCAACTGACCAGCCAACCTGTCCTTCTGCTCTCCCCTTAAGGAAGGTTGACGCCTTCAGGAACATTGAATGCAGCTTCAGGAGATGAAATACTGCCAAGCAATATCATACTTCTGCAAAGGTGGTTAGGCAGTACATTGAGATAATAAAAACTTGTTCATTTGTAAGCCACGACCAAATGACTTTCTTTTTTTTTTTTTTTTTTGCTTACTGTTGAACAAGCATTTAAATATTAAATTTGATTTGACTGCATTTACCTCCCTTGGAAGGCTGAACAGTATTTTATCTCTTTGAACCTTGCTTCAGATAAGGTTTTATGATATCTGTGTCAAAGATATCAGTTTCTTATTTAATAAGCTCTGTACTAGTTTTTCTATAAGAAGGAAAATTGAAATGCTAGCCTGACTTGTTAGTTAGACTTGACTGCTCTCTCCTTGTCCCAGCATTTCTTCTCTTTCTCCTCCTCCTACTACTACTTGCTTAGGACACACAATTTTCTATATCACACATTTATTTTATTTTTTAAACTAACACTTGCCTTTCCCTATCTAAATTCTTTTGTTCACTCTTTGGTTGCCTGTTCTCAAACTTTTCCATATTTAGTTGTGACTTCAAAGCAAAAAGCAAAAGAACTAAAAGCTACTTTTTTTTTTTTTTTTTTTTTTTTTTTTTTCAATTTTTTAAAAACATGGAAATAAATAAATAAAATAACCAATATTGTCAATTTTTTTTCTATTTTCAAGCTATCTACCTTGAACTTTAATACACATGAAGAAAATCAGAATTTTTCCCTTTCTTTTCTCAGTAAAATTGTATGGACCAATTTAAAATTAGATAAGTGTGTGTGTACAAATATATTTATTAACTTATACTTTTAGGACTTATTAATTTTTAGTGCTACTTTTTAACTATCAAATCTAATACTATACATAAATCGGTCAATAACCAATTTAAAAGTGCTTGGTTTAAATTCCTTTGTTTACCCAATCAGAGCGCTATCAGTGTAAAAACGCAGTCTTAAAAAAACTGCAAATTTAATGTCATAATTAAGACTTATTTTCTTTGCTTCCTTATCACATAATGAAGATATTTTTCTATGTGCTGTTTTTACATTTGCAGTATTGATTGTTCTACTATAAACTAATTTGATGCAAGAATCTTGTATTTCCATCATTTTTTTTTTTCTGAAGCTATCTGGTTTTCATCTGTTGTTGCAAGTAACTTGAAGAAAAACTATTCTTTGTTCATTTTAACATAACCAATCAAAATAATCATAATGATTACTTAATTAAAACAAAGAGGACTGATATTTAAGCAAACTTCTTTAGTTAATGATTTAGTTAATGAAAATTAAATCAAGAAATTGATTTTCAATTTTTTTTTTTTTTTTTGTAATTTTTTTTCATCTTGAAGCCCACATTAAAAATAAGTTTTAGTCTAAACAAATTCCTGACTATACTATTCTTCTCTTAATGTAGAAACATACCATTTTGTTAGAAATCTAGAAAAGCTAGTCTCTGCTTTATATAGATTATCATGAAACTCAACAAATTAAGTTTTATTCTTAATATATTTGTATTATGTTGCAATGCAAAAGCAAGATAAATCAGCCTGTATTCTTTTACTTTAAAATGGTATGTAGGTTTGTCTTTGATGAGTTGTCTGCCTTCCTTCTGACTTGAAGAGTTCCATGAAACAAAGTAACAAGTCAGGAAAAACAAACTAGTTTCTGTTTTTTTTTTGTTTTTTTTTTTATTTGGAGATATCTTTTTCTATCCTTTTTCTTTTGGCCTCCACATCTTTGTTTTGTTTTCTTCTCTTTTGCCTTCTCCCATCACTTATGTGGCTTACTAAACCTCCTCACTCTTTCTCATATTATATTCCTCTGAAATAAGATGTAAACCAGAAACTATGACACTTGTACTACTCCTGCCATCTTTGTATCTAAGCCTTTATTCTCCCCAACCTTTTTCTAATAGTACTGCTTACATCATACAACTGTTGTTAGTGGGAATGTTAATGAACATACCAATATAAAACAAACACACATGCACACACTTTTTTCATTACTTCATTAAAAAGAAAAATTTCCAATATTTATCAACAATAATCAGTACCAGTTGTCACCAATTGTAAGATTGGTGATATGATTCATTTGATAACAACATTGATACTTCAAAAGTCATGTTAATATGGTTGGCTCAGGTTTGAGTCTAGGAGTGACTCTTAAACCTTGGGCAAATTGTTCTCACCCAATGTCCATTATGGAAAAGTCCAGTCATGTTTAATTTCACAATACAGTCATAATTGTTCTGTTTAACCTATAAAAAAAAAGTTCAAGGCAAAATGTTTTCTTATATTTCTTCCAAAACTTTGACATGGACAGTGCTAGTTCCGTGATAGTTGTAACAATGGGAGTCAGATGTGTTTTTCATTTAACTTGTATGTTCACTAAATGTTGCTTCCCTTCTATGTTTATGATGGTTCTTCTACTGTGTGTGTGTGAGAGAAAGAGAGAGAGAGAGAGTGCAACACTGTTTTCATAATTGTGAAATGCAAGTTAAAAAGAAAAGAAAAAAAATCCTGCCAAATTTCATATTTTCTCAATTGGCTTCCCACTATGCCCATTCACTCCCTACCCAGGCTTATCTTGTAGATGTGATCTAACTTGGTCTAATCTATAATCTTTCCATTTTTACTAGTGTTTAAAAAGTGAGTGAGTGATACTGGCCTATTAGGTAAAGATATTTATAATTTCAACTGGTTATAATTGCTAGTTGTGAATTTCTTGGGCAAGTGTCCCAAGCACATGTACCCTGTGGCCAGTTTGGTCAATCAATTCATTTGTGCACTTGTAAAATCCCCACCCCAGGCATAAATAACTACTAGTATCTGAAGCAGGGGGAAGAGGAGCGACCTTTCCTATCCTTCCTTCTTTCCTTCCTTCCTCTTATGGTAAACAGGTTATGTTAGCCAGGATAGCTTGTTAGAAATGAAGTGTTCAAAAATAAAATAAAATCAAATCTTGGTGTATGAGGAGATAGCACTTGTGACCCACCCCTGCCCCCTCTTTCTCCCAAGCATGCACATATATATATATATATATATATATATATAAATCTATTTATTTTAACTGGTCTTCACTGTTACATTAACGGGAAATTGCCAAGATCTGAATGTGTAGAACACATTTAGGCATCCAATACATGTCATCCTTGTTGACTATCATCACTCAACTGAACAGAAGGTTTGATTCTGATCTTATTTTCTATCCTTAATAGCCAATGTGGTGGTTTTATTTAGAGAAAGCTTATGCCATTAATTTTGGCTTCTGTATTATCCACTGTGTTATACTGAATGGTGGTGTCTGTGTGTTTAGTTTGTGAGGAGAGGTATTTCAAACACAGTATACATCTTTGGAAATATATGTGTGTGTGTGTGTATATATATATATATATATATATATATGTATATGCAACTACAAAAAAAAAAAATCTTGTTGCAGTCACCCAATTATAATCTACATGTCCTGGTGGGCATCCATTTGTGGAGAGACATATAAGCACACAAACACACTTTCCATGTCAAGAGAGTGGGGAAAAGTTAGTTCTTAGCCTTCTCTCTGTTATGTAAAAGATCTGAACTTTTTTTTTTTTTTTAATGGACATTTTAATGAATAAAAAAAAAAAAAAAAATGATTTTAAAAAATACAAAATCTGCTATGAAAGTTATGCTTATTGTTTGGGAGAAAAAAAAAAAGCTAAATTCTCTCTAGAATTGTATTTGTTCTCCTTTTGGGAATTTTAAACTGAATAGAACTCCTTTGTCTGCTCACTGCCAATGCTTGGTAGTTTGACCAGAGTGGTGAACAAGATAAAATTAATTCTGATGGCCAGTTTATAATAATCCATGTATTATATTTTTTTTTTTTTTTTTTAAAGAAAGAAAAAAAAAAAAAACACTGGGGGTAGTGGTCAGTCACTTGATTGGTTATTTCCACTTTTAACCTGTGACTGTTATTTGTCTTTCTGTTCTGCCTCACCCACTTTTTCTTCAGTCCACTTTGGGCAGGAGTAACAAGGAATGAAGGGGACATTTATAGTAGGTCTTTATTGGACTTTTGATTCAACATCTGCTTGGATATATATTTAATAAACATTCAATTCAGTCCTATTTAATGATATACGAAGAACATAGACTTTGACGATTTTTTGAATACCTTCCTTTCATTTTCTTTCTCCCCATTTCCATTGAATAAGTTATTTCAGAAACAATAAAGTGACAATGTGCTTTTTATGTTACTAGAATTTATTTTTTCACTTTTTTACTATTACATCTGTTTCTCTGTTCTGTGTCACCAAAATGGAGAATATTTTGAGTTATTTTAATACTAAATTAGTCCTTGAAATTCTAAGAAAATACAAGGTGTTTTAAATGCAGAGTTATTTGCTACTTTAGTGCAACTGAATGTTGATTTTTTTTTTTTTTTTCCCCCCTCCAGCCAGTAATATTTTTTCATACAAAATGAAATAAGTATAGATTAAAATTTATACAAGATTTCTGAGAATTGGCATTTCTTTGAAGTGTTTTCTCACAAATGAATATTCTCCCTTGTCTGGTTCATACAGTTAAAAGAATTCAGACCAGAAAATCTACAAAAGACCTTTAAAATAACTGAATTGGCTTAAAAACAACACTGTGATGGACTCTCTTTTTTTTTTTTCTTTTTACAAGATATTTAACTACTAAATTATAAATAGCTGTTAAATATATTTGATAGAGTAACAAGAGTTGTTTCCCTTGCTAACATTATTTAGCAAAAATATATAAAAAATTCTTTGGATCAGGTCCAAAATAAACACTAGTTTGAAAAATGTTTAAATTTTACTATATAACGTGAAGAGTTTTAAATCTTTTCATTATGATAAGAACTTTGAAAATTTTTCACTTTGATTTTTTTTAACCAGTATTATATTTACTGGATTCTCGATTAAAACAATCGAGATTGATCCAGATGGAGAAGATGATTATTAGTTAATTACATATACATGAATAACAAATTGTGTACGAGTTTTTGATTGCTATGCCACTCTATTTTCTACTTGGTAATTGTTGAAAAAACGGAAGCAAATAAAATTTTTAAAAATTGTAATTTTTTAGTAAAAATTACTTAGCATTAAAGATTGTTTTGAAATGGGCTGAGGGTAGCTCACTGGAATGTTGTAGATATGAACAAGAATATTAACATTTATGCCTACCATAAAATCTGGTATTATAAAAACCAAGTATTATAAGTACCCAATGTTCCAAAAATGGGATGATGAACATTGAGTTAATTAGGTACATAATCCTTCTTTTTTTATTTTTTTTTTTTTCTTCCCTTCTAACTTTTAAAAATTTTAGCTTAAAAAAAGAAAATGTAAACTTAGCCCAAATAAAATGTTTCACTACCTAAATTCAATTGTTTAAATTGTAACTATTTTCTTCCAAAATAGTAAGGAATTTATACTAGCTTCATATTTTTTACTGACCTACAGTAGAATAAAATATAAAGTTGTTGGATTTAGTAAGATTACAATAACTCGATTTGTTTTATTCATTTTCTGATTAAGAGATTTATTTTTTTAAATAAATAAATATCCGAGAGGAATTACAAAAGGTTGAACAAATAAGCCACAGGAGAAAAAACCTCTTCCCGCCCAGCATCAAACCTAAGTGCAGCTATTTGTTATTCTGATTATTTTATTTATAAACACATGAAAGGGAAGAGAAAGGACATACCTTTTCTTTTTTTAAAGTAATATTAATGCTGTTTTAGCATATTGTAGCTCATGCTTAGAATCTTAATTTATTTAAATATATCAGATATGTAATGATAATGGGTTTTTTTAAAGTACTGTACAAGTTTTTAACAAAGTAGTATAAGAGAAAACAAATTCTATTCAATAACAAAAAGTATTGAGAAAAAAAAATAAGCTCAGAACCATTTGAATACTTAAAAATATAAAAATATATATATATATATATATATATATATATATATACACGATAATGCAAACATGGTCTATAGTAACTAGTGGGGCATTAAAAATCCTAGTTGACATTTAATAGTAAAAAGTTTAATAGAATAAGTGAAATCTGTAGTTAAAAATCAGGTATACAATATTTTAGGAAATTTTTTTTTTTTTTTAAATGGATGTTAACTTGATATGAAATAGAATCTCAAAAATAGATTGAAGTACCTTTTTTTTTTTACAGGCAGCAAAAATCATTAAACTAAGTTGATGTTTTTTGTTTTAATTCTTTAAATAAATAAAAAAAAATTCTCATCCAAAATGATGAGATTTCTCATAGCCAGCTTTAAAAAATTACTTAAATTTGATCTGAGAGAGAGAGCAAAAAAAAAAAAAGCAATACAAAAATAAGACAGTAATCTTGTATGAATATTTATTCAATCCTTTTGGTCATTTTAGGGCTACAAAAATAAACAGGCTGAAAGGCTTAGTGTTTATTATTGAAGAAAGAGTGAAGAGTTCCCAGAAATGTTCATTACTGAAAACAAAATTTTACAGAAAGTAAAGTGATGAACAAAATATTTAAGGATTTTTGTCTATAAATAAAGACAATACAAAGTTTCCAGCATTTTTTGTTTTTTGTTATAATTATTCATAGAATTATTATTCAAACAACAAAATATTTTCCCTGGCTTCCTTTAAACTTACCACCTTTACAGTTAAATTGAATTCCATAATTAAAGAATTTCAGTTTTGATTCTATACATTGAACTTTGAACTACAATTGAACAAGAAAAAAAAATCTTAAATTGCTGACTAATATTCCTTTTTTTTTGTAAATTCATGTGGAACTTTTTTTTTTTTTTTTAGCTTCAGAATT